ATGTACAAGTAGAATTATCCTTATTTTAAATGGATTGAGATTGAATGAATGATTGATTTGGTGTTACAGGAACAAGGTTTTGATATAGAAGTATACTCGAGGGTTGGTCTTGATTCTTGGGTCGATTGGTATGATGTGAAGGAGGAGAAAGAAGATGAAGATGACACTGTATTATCATAGTTTTGCCCATAAATGTGTGAACTCTACACATTTTAGCATAGATGGTTGTTTTCATTTGAATTCTTGGTTACGCCTACTATTTTTCAAACATATAGCTACTCATTTTTCTTTTGATTGTAATATTTGTGTTTAACTGCACAGGTGCTGTCGACTTACTTTTCCTTGTATATCTTGGGGTTTACATGAACATTTCCTGCTATGTTTTTGCCTTATATGATGGATCTGTTATTTCTACCATTCAAAGTATTAGAATAAGGATGAGTTGCACAGCTTTTTCTGGTATGGTTCAAATTTCCAATTGATTAGATTTAGCATTTAGTAGATTAGTTAGTTGAATTGATGCAGATATGATACGGTAGTCCATAACTGTGAAGAATCATCCAGTTGATTATCAAATTTGTGAAGAGTGTCATCTATAAAGTTTAGTAAAGAGATGCTGTGCTATATGTCAAACTTAAGAATTTGGGCAGACAAGAAGAAGATGCTTAAGGACTTATGGTACCTGTTGACATCGAATTTTAATGAGTGTAATCTGCAACCAGTACCCTGGTTAGTAAGCTTGGCTCTGGAGGTAGAGGCGGTGGCCGATTCCGCTCTAGCAGAATAACTAATAGGTTAGGTAAACTATCATTTCTCCTGACAATTTGGGTATACTCTGTTGCTGAGCTCAACACCTTCAAGTCGTGTTGGCTTTGCAGAGCTGGTTTCCTTCTTTTGCTGGGATGATCTCCATGGCTTTTACTTGGAGTTAGGCCCAGGTGTTTAGTTTGACTTCAATTGTCTTATTGGGGTTACTTTTTAATTACTAGTCTCTCTAGCTATCCTTGTCCGAGCTAATGCTCTCAGCTTGGACTTCAACTATGAAGAAACATAGGTAGAGTGAACAGAAGGGGGAGTGAAGAAAATAAAAAATTGAGGGAATGAAGAATTAGGTTCTGTATACTTATCATCCAGTGAGACAAAAAATGAGGTAGCATTAGTCAAAACATTTTTCTGATTTTTGCTTGAGGGTCCACTCATAGGAAAGATTCTTCCCTTTTTTTTTTTTTTTTTTACATTGTTTTTTCAGAAAAAGCACGAATTCTTCTACCTAATGCAGAAAAGATCAAATGTATGCTGGCTGCAATGGTCATTAAATCTATTATAACAATTTACCCAAATATGATTTGTGTTCTTCTTTAGTCTATGGATCCATGTCTTACTTCTTGCCAATCTCTACACCACAGAGAGGACTTGAAAACTAGGCAGTTATATTTAGTGGTGGCAATGGCTCCGCTCAGCCCATACCCACATGAGCTCGGCTCGTGCGAGCTCGTGGCTCAAGCTTAAGCTCGGCTTGTTGGTTTTTGGGCGAGCTGGGCTCGTGCCCGAGCTCGCCGGCTCGTCATTTTTGACCTTTTTTTTTTTTTTAACACTACTAT